TCTCTTTCTCCTCTCTCTCTCTTTGTCTGCCTAGCCGCCTTCATCAGCGTCTTCAGCGTGCTCTTCTACTGGCTTTGGTCCTCTGTATTGGCTTGAGTTGGAATTTTTTACATTTTTCCATTTTTTTTTTTTGCATATTCTCGTCGAGGGCTGTGCACACAGAGCAAAAAATGCATGATGAATGTGTAGGCCTCTCTCTCCTCGGCGGGTGCGCTGCCGCTGGATCTGAAGTGCTTGACAAACTGTTATACATTGACAAACTGTTGGCCCAATTTGATGGCTTTCGGCATTTCGTCAAATGAAATCAATTTTTACTTGCAAAGGCTGCCAGCTTGCGCTGGATTTTCTGATGGATTTTGCTCTGTAGGTATTTTTGCACGCTGACAGCTTAACTTGATTTACCAAACGAATTTTGTTTCAAACAAACAAAAATCCAAAAAAAAAAATTCTGATATTTCTGTGCACGGATTGGGAATTCAATTCAGCTGTACTCTGATTTATCGCACGATGCTGAACTTAACCAGTGGTCAATGCTAACCCGACACTTTGATTCCACGGACAACGATTGAAGTACTTTTTGCTGTTCCACTTGAGTTATGTACTTACATATGCGGACACTTATGTACAATGAATGGTACAATTGAAGTGCTAAATGAGTTTGACAAAAATGTGAATGAATGCAGCTTCCATGACATTGTCTTCTCTTGCTCTCTCCCTCTCTCTTGCTCTCCTACTTCGCATCCGCCCAACCCATGCCCAGCCATAATCATTTCTGGTTGCTTTCTCTGCCAATTTTCGCATTTTTATGCATGTTTTGACATGTTCAAGCATCGTTGGCGTCACTTCACTTCACGATGTCAGCCAGCCAGCCAGCCAGCCAGCCAGCGCATGCAACGTTTTATGGCTCTCAAAACACACACACACACACACACACACGCACAGCTAGAGCAAGAGACATATACACATACAGAGCAATACATAGATACATATGTACATGTATTTATATACATTTGGTATGTACAGTATTTATATGGTGCCGGGTAACATTTTGTCTACGTCTGGCTTTTGTTTCCATTTTGTGCTTTCCATTTGTGTGACAATTAAATGGGCAGCAACATCGACATGGACATCGCTGTCGGCGTCGCTGCGTCGCTGCGTCTCGATAACGATTTTAATAGGCCATTTAATTTTTAATTAATTCTTCAAGCGCCAGTTGCCATGTCATAAAAATGTTTGCTGTCATGTTTGGCTGTTGCTTGTCCTCTGGTCCTCTTGTCCTCTTGTCCTTTGTACTCTCCCTTTGACCCCGCTTGGCTGCCTTCTCTGGCATTGCAGCTGCCCTGGTTGATGATGCTTGATGATGATGTTTTGGGGCGTTTAACGACATGTTTTTGTTTCATTTTGGCGGCCCTGCATATCATTATTATCGCCGCGATATTTCTTCTCATTTTCCATCACAATCCGCCATTCAGCTTTGCCGCTTGTTTATTGAACATTTGGCTATTTATGGATGGTGGTTGGGTGGTTGGTTGGTTGGTTGGTTGTGGGGTTGTGCGATGTGGAATGGAATGGGAAGCGCGTGTTTTCTCTGTCGCAATTTCATTACTCAAACTTGCAAGAGGGGGAGAGACACCCACCCCCTCCGCCGCCCAACAGAAACAAAATAGAGAGCGGGCAGTAATATGTACAGTCTGTAATTAAAACATTCACTGAGCGAGGCAAAGAAACCTCATTGCCCACTCAGCCATTGCTGCTTGACCTCGGGTTGAGTGTTGGAGGAGGGCATCCTCGCACCCGCACCAGCAGGCGCTCCTAGCCTTCGGCAGCGCCTCTCGACAAATATCCGCGTCCTCCCTTTAAAGCACCAGCCGCCCGCCCCACAGCCATGGCCGGAGCCACCCCCCCATGCGCATTGTTTGGTTTTATATTTAAACATTTTTGTGACTCTCTTAATAGCTTTTTGTGAAAATTAATTTCTTAGCTATTAGAGGCTCTTGTCCGACGCCCATTCCCCAATCCCCACCACAGTACACCATGCCACACTCCACTCCCTCCCCCCACCCACTGTGTGTGTGTGCGTGATGGAGGAGTATTTTGTAATTACTTTATGCCCGAAAATTGCCGTTGTAAAATATTTCTCGCTGGCTTTTGGTTTGGATTTCATAGTCGCCTAAGGGCAGGACAAAAGCCCCACCAGGTTGTGGTCTGCATCGGGGGTCGGACTGGGGACTCTGGCAAGGCTTTGGACTTGCCTTTTGGGGCTGCGCTGCTCTCTTGCCACTATCGTTCTATTTATAATCGAATTAAATGCGTTGCCCATCTGCCAAGATGAACGAATATTAAGAATGGCTCAAGTGTGCGCTGTAAATGAATATCGATTATGATTGATTGTTGTGCGGCTAAGAAATTAGTATTAAGCGGTTATTTTTGTAATTTGGAGGCGATTTACAAGAGTATAACAGTTTGTATAGCAGTTTGAACTTAGTATAACAGTTGGTGGAGTGTCTTTTTTGGATTCAAGCATTAATGCAGCAATGTATAACATTTTGTATAACAGTTTAAAATTGTATTTTTTTGTATAAAAGTCTGGCGACTGAGTCGCTGCCATACGGAATCGTGTATTGTACATATGTATGTATATCTCACAGATAAATTATATAAAGTTACTTCCAAAATCATACAAAAATACTTACTGGCTACTCAGTTCTGCTGTAAAGACACCACTCAAGGAGTCTATTTATCTAAGATACATATGTACCCAATTGAGTGGGAGTACGATATTTGTACGATTTCTCGTTTATATTTGAAATTTGTTGAAGCATAACAACAGTGGCGTTTGTTTTGCAATTAGCAAGAAATAAAGTTGAGGCAAAACCACAAAAGTGAATAAATAGTTTTAATTAAAATACCTGAGAGCTGAAAGTAAGCAACAAATGCAAATTAAAACGTATTAAAAACTTAGAACAACATCTCTCTTGTTGCCTGCCACTTAGATGGCATCTGGTGGAGGCATCAAGTTCCCCCAAAAGAACAAGGACTGCCAACCAACCACTGCCAATGTCTGTGGCTTCCTACTGACCGACCGGATGCTGTATAGAACGTGTAGGCTTAACCCTACTCTATTGAGTGCCCTATTGTCCAGTGCCTTTGGCGGCATGGGCGGGGGTGGAGGCGGAGGAGCGGCTATTACTATTACCGCCCCACAATCTCCATCTCGATTGCAAAAATTTCAATCCCCCAACATGGAAATCGTTTTTGCTCGCCCACAGTTTTTTTTTGGGGGTAAAAGTTTAGGACCCACACAGCAACACACACAGCAAACCACCACCCACTCTGAAATTCCCACGCATAATTGCCATGCTTGCCCTTGCAGCCTGGTGGAAATCTTTCCACAGAGTTGTGGCAGGGACAGGGACAGCAGCAGGGACGGAGACAGGGACAGGGACAGGGTGTGGGCGGCAACGACATGTGTGCGTCGTTAGTTAGTTAGTTATAACTACATACAATTTTATGGAAGCCATATTGTAAATGTTATAATTTTCACTAACAATTTTTACCAACCGTTGCCTGAGTCAGGGGCGTGGCAGTTGGGCGGCATCCAGCTATGAACGATGGACACATCGTACCAGCGTACGGTCGGAAGGGAGGCAGGGCCACACGACGTATACTTACTATACGTACATGCCTGTGCATGTTGTAAGCAGGATGATGATAATTTTCGACAACTTTTTTTTTTTTATTTTGTTTGTGTGTGTGTGTGTGTGTGAAACACGCACCTCAGGGGAGCGAGGGCTATGACAGAGACTCGTCGTAGTAGTAGTCCAGAGGCGACGCTGCCGGAACAGCCTACACTTGCACCGCCTGCCCCTTGCTGCCAGGCCTAGCCTGGCCTAGCGTGGCATGGCCTGGCCCTGTTCCCCGTGCACTCAAACGTGCTTCGTGTTTTAAAGTATTCTTAACATTAACATTAAGCAGGGATCAGAGGGCATTGGGCTGCTGGGGGATGTGGGACCCAAAAAGCATTTTCTGTGTTTTTTCATACTGATTTTTCATCATTTTATTTTTTATTTTATTTTTTCCCCCCATTCTCTTTCGCTCGTCTGGCATTTTTTTTTTCTGCTATTGTCGTTTGCTTTTTCATTTTGTCAGTAATAAAATTGAATACATGTACATGCATATATGTATGTACATATACACCCATACACACACGTACAATTTTACTCAATTATAAAAGTTTCCACATTAAAAGTTCATTGCAGAGCCAAAGTGGGGAATGAACGAAAGTCCGAGGCGTTGCCGTACCGTGCCACCCATATTGGGATAGGTCGTGCCCAGAGGCAGCTGGCCTAGGTCTGGGCTTCGTGCTGGTTCTCTTGCTGGTTCTGTTCCTGGTTTTTTTGGTTTTTGGTTCTGCCTGGACTGTTGTTTGTGCCCCGATTCAGAGTTCTGGCAAAACAAACATCAAAGCCAAAGTGTCTCCGACAGAAAAGTTTCTATTTCTATTATTTTCTGTTTTTTTGAGGACAGCCTCAGCTCCCAGCTCCCGGAACGAAAGGGGTGCGGTGCGGCAAGGGTAGGGCTGAGTGCCGAAAAGGTTGTTGTGCCACATGCATGGCTGCTTGGCTGCTTGGCAGCATGGCAGGCAGCAGGGAAATGGCTTTATCCACTCTTGCTAATCTGTACAGTCTGCCCTGCTAATTTGATCAAGGATCAGTGTATGCAGCGGCAGCTGGCTTGGAGCCTTGTGGCAATGTGGCACTTGTTAAGCTGTGAATGGGCTCCAGTCCGAATGTATGCATTTTCCTTCTATTGTGGTCCATTTAAGTTCCTTTCTGAGCAAGTGATTTGCATTTCCAATGGTGAATATTTTTGAGCGAGGGCGCTCCCTTGGACTTGCGCTTCTCTCATTGAATCTCCTACAACTATTTGACATGACTGTTCTAATTCCAGCACAAATAAACCAAACATTTAATTATTTCCATTTCCTTTTGTTGTTGCAGGCTATGGCGGCGTCTCGCCACGCACCCAATGGGGCCGCATCGCCGCTCTGATTTACGCCCTCCTCGGCATACCCATCATACTGCTCTACTTGTCAGCCATGGGCGATGCACTGTCCAGCGGCATGCGCTGCCTGTTCCGTCGCCAGGGCGGTGAGAAGGGTGGGGCAGGCGATGGGGATGGCGTCGACAATGGAGGCAGCGGTGGCAACGGACGAAAATCGGACAAGAAGAAGGCAAAGAAGGGGCACTACGGACACCATGGTGGTGGCAACAATATGCACTACGGCATGCCGCAAACCGTCTACCAGCAGCAGCAACAGCAGCAGCAGCAGCAACAACAGCAGCAGCAGCAGGAAAAGAAAAGCTCTGCTGAATCGGAAAACGAACAGGGAACTGGACCCCGGGGCTCCGCCAGCGTGCCCATCTCGATCTGTGTGTGCGTGATGGTCTGTTATGTGACCAGCGGTGCCATACTCTTCCACCGGCTGCAGAACTGGAGCGTGCTGGAGTCACTGTACTTCTGCTTCACCTCGCTGGGCACCATCGGCTTCGGCGAGCTGGCCCCCAGGGGCACACTGGCCCTGTACATGGCCTCCGCCTATATACTGGTGGGCATGGCCGTGGTGGCCATGTGCTTCAACCTGATCCAGGCCGAGATTGTGCAATGGCTGCGCAAGTTCAGCGTGCAGGACAACGTGACGCCCAAGGCCGAGGAGGTGACCCTCGTGTCGGTGTCCGTCACCCCGAAGCCCTCCTGACAACGACCTAGCGCGGACCTGCTGGGCGGCATCGCCGGCGGTCCCAGCACCTCCTCCGGTCTGGGCGTGGGCGTGGTAGGCCAGCCACCCAATAGCCTGGCCCAGCACCAGACCATGTTCTTCGGCCCGGCCCACACCCTGACCCAGTACAGCTCGCTGCCCCGCCGCAGCCACATGCATGGCGGCCACGGGGTCGGACCATCGTCCTCGGGAGCGGCCTTCCAGCGCAACACGCCCATCCGACGCTCCACGGGCATACCGGAGCACCACATGGAGTACTTTGTGCCGCGCAGCATCAGCGAGTTCAACCTGTCGGGCGTGGGTGATCTGGCCCTGCCCCCGCCACGTCGCTACTCCCCCAACATGAATAACATGGGCATGGGCACGGGCATGGGAATGGGCATGGGAAATGGCATGGGTATGGGCATGGGCATGGGAATGGGCATGGGCATGGGTATGGGACTGCCGCATGGCCTGCAACTGGGACCACCGCAGACACTGCTATGTGGCGGCGGCCCCCAGCAACAGCAGCAACAACCACCGCCGCCGCCGGCCCAGCTGCAGATAGTCACCCTGAAGCCGCGCAGCGAGAAGATGGTCACCTTCGAGGACGAGTCCAAGCAGCAGCAGCAGCAGGCGCCGCCACCACCCTCCATTGTCTCCTCCGGCGTGAACTCTGTGACGGCGGCGACCACACATTGTCCCCACGGGGTGCCAACCACGCCGCGCAAGTCCTCCGGCATCGGTGGGTTGGGTGGCGGTGACATCTTCATGTGACCAGCCAGCTGACTAGCGGCGGCGTCCAGTGACTGCTCGCCAGTGGCATCCGGTGCCGGTGCCAGTGCCGGTGCTGGTGCTGGTGCTGGGGCGGCATCTGAGCTGAATGCAGCGATGCGTCTGCGGGATAGCATTGACGAGGCGCTGTGCCCCAAGTCGGGACCGGCCCCAGGTGAGGTGATACGTGTCTAAGTGAATCAAGCCAAATGCTCACACTGTAAGTAATTGCACACACACACACACCCACACTGACACAGGTGGCACACTAGACAGGCGGAGACTTCACACACATGCATAAATGTGAAAGTCAAGAAGTGTTGCCTACATTTGGGGGCTCCCAGGGAGAGGACAGGATAGACGTAGGAGAAGCAGAGCAGCAGCAAGAAACACAAGGAGAGCTGGGTGAGGGGGAGGGGGTGGGGAGAATAAGTAACAATTTCCTTCATCTAAAAGTTGGTTCTTTGTCGTGTTTTTTGAATCTATAAACATTGAGCAAATATTTATTATTATGTGTGTAAATATAGGAAAACACAAAACACAAGAGCATCCACAGGGAAGAGAATATACTAAGTTTAGGGTGGATGGGTTGGGTGGGTGGGGTGCCAGCTGCAGCAGTACAGAATGATTGGCAGGGGGAAAGGCGAAGGGGGTGTGGGTAGTGGGTAGTGGGTAGGGGGGAGAGCATTAGCAGCAAACGACTAAATTAAAAGTAAAATTCAAATTCCACATGATAAATGCATAAATATTTAAATGGTGCATGAGAGTGTTTAACGTTAATGCCGAAAGCGCGCAAAAACCGAAATTAATAAAATACATAGCGAATACCATGAATAATAAATAGTAGTTATCCTCATGAGAGACGGGGGAATGTGGGGACGGGAAACAAACAAAATGCAAATGCAAATGAAAATGAAAATGACAAATTGTATAAATACCCGAGGACAAAGTTTATTTAAGCGATTTGTTAGTTCGTTTTTGCTTCTCTCTCTTACTTACTATCCGTCTATTTTTTGTTGCCATATTTTCATCAGCTTCTGTGCTTCTGGGTGGTTTGCTCAGCGTGGTGTTGGGTGATGGGGAGGAAGGGGTTAGTGGAAATTTAAATTACTTTTCCGTAGAGTGCTGTATAACAGTTGCATTGGAAACGGTAGAACGGTAGAAATTGTATTGTCTGCGTGGCTGGCAGGATAGCAAATGAAATCTATTTATATTTGGTATAATTTGTATGGTAGTATAATTTTTTTTTGCTTAGAACTGTTATACTGTGTGGGGGAAACGAAAACGTACGGTACTGTGCGTCTATAACCAGCCTTTATACAGGCTGTCATACTCTGACGACTGTGACAAGGTAGCGGGAGTTTGCTTTGAACTGTTATATTATGCATTTTTGCTGCTGCAATTTCAACTGTTATATAAACTGTCATACTGTTGGAAATGTGAACATAAATCAAATGGTACCTTTTTATGGTTTGAGAATGGCGGCTGTTATATTATCTGCTATATCTGCCATAAGCCACTGTTATATTGCTCCAAAAAATGCCATCCCTCGACTTTATTGATCCAATAATTAATAATTAATGGATTATAATCAATACACTCGTACACGGCTGTCATACATATGTATAGCTATCATTGACCTGTCATACAATCTGTTATACGAGTAGATCCAGCATTCAACTGATCATACAAATACATATGTAGATATCCCATTCGTCTGACAAATAATCTCTCACTGTCACCTCACTCTCAGTATCTTCAGTCCTTCAGTCTTTTTTAAGCCCCAAGGAATTCTACAAATTACCATTCGATTCATCAGAATCCCCTGTGGCATCTGCTTAAGCTCTTGTTGAGTGGCTTTTTTTCCGTATTTGTTTTTTTTTTTTTTTAGTTCCCTGCACAGCTTTCCCGCACCCGCACCCGCACCCTTCGCGCGGGGCAATTAGGATTAAATACTTTTTAAATACATTTTGATTGTAGGTAATTGAGCGCGTGAATTGTCATTTGTTGTTTGTTATTTGCTGCCGTCTGTCGTTTTTGCGGAGGTGCCAGAGAGCTGCCAGCCCGTTTGGATGCCTGTCATCCAAGTGGAGCTCATTTGCCGCATTTTAGCTGCCATTTGGTTGCTTTTTTTTTTTTTTTTTTTTTTTTTTTTTTGTTTGTATTGTGTGTAGCCCTTCATTAAAATAAATAAATGAAACTTGAGTGTCCGCCCAAGCCCGCACACGTGGGTGTGTGTGGTCGCTGTGCGTTGCATTTGTTAATTTTTTGCCGTACTCAATTTGTGGCATTCAATTAAAATAGTAAAATAGTGAAATGGAACCAGAAACCAAAAATCAAATAGGCTAGGCACTCGTACATACTCGTTAAAAATCAGATCAAAATAAAATGTAATACACGTAAAAGCAGTAAAAAAAAAAACACAGAATAACAGAAGGAGTATGGGAGGGGAGGCTTTCAATTAATGGATTGCGGAATGCAAGGCCAAAGAGCGAGCGGGACAGCGGGACAGAGAGCCCAGTCAGAGGGTAATTAGAGGGCAGACAGAAACAGTCAGAAACTAATTCCAAAATCCATTTTGTGTCATAGCATAAACCAGCAGATGTCTACTATAGTATATACATACACACATATATATATACGTATATATGTCTATGTAGTTAATAACTAACTAACCAACTAACTAACGAACAGCAACCATACAGCTCGTACAGCAGCAACATAAAACATTAAAAAACAGAAAAAAGCTAACGCAAATATTGAATTTAAGTCAATGTAATTAAATTAAGTCCACTTCAACACTCACACACAAACAGAAAACAGCCAACAAAACGACACGCATAGACAGAAAGACACATCGACACACCAAAACCACAATATAATTAATAACTATCTGATAAATATGGAAACAAAAAAAAAACTAAATATGTAATATGTGAGTTTTTTTTTTGTCAAATTCCTAGCACGGTAAGTTGAACTCTTAGGCTAAGCTAAGCTAACCGGAAGTGGCTCATCGTGAGTGAGTGAGTGAGTGAGTGAGTGACAGTTAAGGATAAATTACACCTAGTTCATATACTCGTACTCTTAGCATTAGTCCACTAAATGTGTGCGTGTCGGCCGATATTTACCGATTGGTACATTACAAAAACATATATGTATGCATTATGTACATGCGACTACCTAGGCATGGATGGACCGACCGACATACATTAAAATGTAGTTGTAAGCATCCATACATATACATATGTAGCCGTACACAAAACGAAACTAATTTAGCATTGAGCAAGGCAACTAGCAATTAAGTAAATACCGCAGTTTGCGACATATACATCTACATATACATACATACATATACAATATATATATATACAATACTAAAACCGAAACCAAAACCAAAACCGAAACCAAACCAACCAAAAATTAAGTGAATAAATACATCATGAACAATTTAGTCAAATTTCAGTAAAAATTTTGCGTGTTTTTCTTACTTGCACCATTTTTGTGGTGTGGGTGTGCGGGGTGCTTCAGAATTGTTTATTATCAAGGGATGCAGAATCATTAACCACAGCGAAAAGTACCGACAAGCAGTGCCAGCATACAAGCTGAGCCAGCAAACAAGCAGTGCCAGCATGCAAGCAGATCCAGCATACAAGCAGTGCCAGGGCCCATTAGCAGAGAGCGATCTTAACCACTCCTTTGTGTCTCTCTGCCAGATAACCCAAATGTTATATTTTAAAATTTCGATATATCCTTCCCATGTGAACCAACTTTTCTGTACCATGTCGAGCGAGTGAGCAGCCGTTGAAGCAGCAATAAAGGTATGCGAAATATCTTAAATTAAAATGGAATTTGCGCAAAATCAATTTGCGCATTAATTGATACAGATAAAAACCGAATCGAAATCCCCCAAGCCGACATCGATGGCTAACCGATAAAAAAAAAAACACACACACACACAGAAAGAGAAACCTTTCCGCTCTTCGCTGCGCTGATGCGGCGCTGGGTTTTTATTTTTGTGAGTTATTTAATTATTTAATTAGTGTTAATAATTTATAGCAAACAGTTTTGCAATCAATTCGCCTTTTTATCTGTGTGCATTTTATGGCAGCTCTGAAATGGAATCTCACTTAATCAAGAGGTGAGCCCAGGTGCCCGCTCAAAGTGCTCCTGTATGTCCTGTGTGTCCTGTGTGCTTTGTGCATCAGTGCGTGTGTCCAGCTCTTTTTGCCACAGCAATTTAATTTACTTCTGACAAATGTCCTGCCCCATATCCTGCCATCCTGCCGCATATCCTGCCATCCTGCCATCCTGCCAGCGCCGTCGTCGTCGTCGTGCTCCTTTCGGTCGTCCAGTGTTTGTCGAGTCTATAGATGAAATGTCAAGTGGAAAAGCATTAGCCCATCAAATGATGTGTAATGTGCTCGAATTTCTCTCTCTCTCTCTCTCTCTTGGAATGAATCAAACCAATGCACACACACACAGATAGACAGACATACGCTCGTGCACATTGTGTACAGTGCATTTCGAAACTGTAAGCCATTCAGAGCATTGCAGAGCATTTGCCGAAAGGGCAAAAGTGCACAGCATCAAGCTCCAATTGAAACAAAACTCACAGGAGAGGTTGTGTCTGCGATGCCTGGCTTAATTTAATTGCATTTGCCGATGGGTAGAAATACTTGCAGGCATATAACATAACAGTTGAATGGTTGAATGGTATGGTGCACTTTTGATGCGCACTGTACACACGCATATGAAAATGTATACCTACACAGATGCTATTTGTATATTTGTTCATGTGAAACTTTACAGAATTACCTCGATTAATTTTGTCAAATGTCGGCTCTGCAAAAGTTGTTGGAGCAGAATAATGGACTTATGGTAGCTCACTCACTGGCAGTATGGTAGGTGTTGAGGGATAGGGATCAGCATCAGCATCAGCATCAGCTGGATGATGAAAAGATCCAAGGCAAGGATCCTTTGTCTCATGCATCTCTGGCATTAGCCAGGAGCCAGGAGCCGGGAGCCGGGAGCCTGCAAGTGGATTGCAGGGGAGTGTGGCCACAAAGGAAACGCAAGACACATCGAGGCAATAAATTCGCTTAAATGCTCTCTTTGTTCGAGTCATTAAAATCGCATTTGGAGGAGAACAAACCAGACCAAACCAAACCAAACCAGACCAGGCCAGAGCCAATGATGTTTGCCGCAGTGACTACGCGGATGATGAGGATGATGTGAGTG